GCTTAAAAGAAATATGTTGTTAGAGAAAGGAGTTATGTAGTAGCAGAAAGTTTAGTAACCTTCAAAGGTAGAGCTTAATTACCCTCCCCTTGATATGTGGGCTAGACTTAAGTGTCTCCTTTCTAATGAATAGAATATTGTGGAAATAATAAAGCGAAACTTCTGAGACTCAGTCATAAAAGGCATTGCAGACTACTTGCTCACTCTCTTGGATCACACGCTCTAGAAGCCAGCTAGTCATGTTTTGAGAACACTCAGGTAGCCCAGTAGAGAGGCCCACGTGACAAAACTGACTTTCTCCCAACAGCCAGCAAAGAACTAGTGTCCTCTCATCAGCCATGTGAGTGAGCCACCTTGGAAGCAAATCCTCCAGTCCAAGTCAAGCCTTCAGGTGACTGCAACCTTATGAAAACCTGATGCAGAACCACCCAGCTAAATTGCTCCTGAATTCCTAGCTCTCAGTAACAGTGTGAGATGTTTTTTAAGCTGTTAGTTCTGTGGCAATGTTATACAGCAATAGATAGCACATTCTCAACTTTGAACTCTGTTTTTAGTCCAGTGGTTCTTCCTGTTTGGTCCAGTTTTAGCAATAATCCTGCTGGGTCAGTTTGGGGAAAATCCTCACCCTTGATATCTGATCAAATTCCTTATTCCCCACCCTCGATATCTTATCACTCTGGCCTGTCTTCAGCAATAATCCTGTTAAGTTGGTTTAGCCAGAATCTACCTTACCTCTGATGTTTCTTCCTAGTTATTTCTCATCCACTGACACCACCCTGTTCCAACTTTGCTCTTGCTGGACTCAGAGTTAAGCTCAATCTCTCTTCCACATTACAAACCCCATTGTAGTAGTCCTCCCTTGTAAAGTTTTTCTTACCATCTTCAACAAGTGTCAAGAATAGTTTAACATTTCTGTTTTGTTACTGGAAATTACTCACAAATTAATATTTTCATACCTTTACATTTTATATAATATTCATTTGGGGAGGATAAATTTCTAAATTAAAACATTTCATATTTTAACTATAGAAACAAAAAACATCTTTTTTTCAATAACTCATGTAGTAATTTGAAAAGGATGTATATATAAATAGACATGTCAGTGTATACACACACACCCTCGAAACTCCAAGGAAAGCTATAAATTCTCAGTAAAACTGTAAATTAAGATTAAAACATTCAACCTGCAAATTTTAAAATCTTTATAGTTAACTTAACAAAAAATGTGTAGAGAATTAAAACTTTAATAAAAATGAAAATATGCATCAAAATATTTGGAATTCAAACAAAACTATAAACAAAGCAGGCAATCTTAAATTCCTTAATACAAAGGGAAAAATTAGCTTTTAAAATAAAAGACCATTAAAAAAAAAACAATCCTAAATATAGTAGGTATACAATGGATTAAGGCAAAAAAAAAAAGAATAACAAAAACAAATTTAGTTGGGATAATAAATCAAGGATTGCTTCTTAGAAAAGGTAAATCGGAAACATTGATAAAACTGTGCCAAATCTAATTAAGAGAAAAGGAAATAAACACATTTCAATATTAGAAATGGGAAAGAGAATGAGATTCTGAGTAGAAAGGATAATATTCAACCCCACATGGAAATATTTTTGCTATAGGAAAGGAAGATTTCTAATAGAAAAGTTGTGAATACAGCTGAGAAAAATCTTGAGTTAGTAAAGAAAAAGTAAATTATTGTTTCAATAGATGTTGTAAACTATCCAATAGAACTAAATAATGATTCTTTTAAGATTCTAAAGACAAAAATAGAAATTCATTAAGCAATGTACTCACTACCTTTAATAGTAAAGTATTTCTCATTAAAACCCCAAGAACAAGATAGCCCATTTTCATATCATCATTTAGAAGTTCTGGCTAATGCAATAAGATTAGAAATAAACACAAACAGCAGTAAGGCAAAGAATTTTAGTGATACTAAAATAATTTTTAAAAAACTGATCATTTGCCATGTTATCGGTGAAAAGACAAATAACAAAAACAGTTTTTCAAAAAAACATTTTATTACTATAATTGCTACTTTACTTACAATTTTTGGCAACATTAATAAAATAATAAATTTTATCTGAAGGAACAAGCAAGCAAAATAGACAGGGAAGTTCACAAAGGGTAATAACAAAATAGTAATCTTGACATATACTCGATATATCTGTAAACAAAACAAAGTGACATTGCCTTTTAAAAATCTAGAGGTATCAATGGCAAAACAGAGAAAGCTCCTGAAGGAACTCAACTCACTATATTAATTTTCTTTTGATTGCAGGCACAGAAATGGACTCAAGCTAGCTCAATTCTAAGAGAGAAGCAAAGCCCTTGATAATGATCTCTTCCCAGGTTTTTGTGAAAACCCAGGAAATTTAACTAGATTAGAGAGGGAAGAAAAGAGACGGGAGACATAAAGTGCCTTTAGAGGAGGGGAAGTGGGGGTGAGCGATTTCATTGTCAGTGCCATTTTAAGAACATTGGTGAAGTTCAATGAACCAAAGGAAGTGTCAAACAATTAATCGAGGTAGAAGCCATGCAGGTCTAAGTGAAGCGTGTTCTAAGACAGAGAACAGCAGCTGCAGTCTTTGGATTGGGAAGAAATATGATTTGCTTGAGGAAAAGCAAGGCCAGTGTATCAAAAATAGTGCATCAGTAGAGAAAATGGTAGAGTAGCATGGCAGAGAAATGAAAAACAGAAAGGAGGTAGGCAGGGGTCATATCACTGAAATCTTGGCAATAAATAACAATTTGCACTCTTAAGGAGCATACTTTAGTGAAATAGCAAACAACAGTAATAGTGTTGATAAAACTAAGAAACCACAAACACACAGAACTAAAACATTTTATATTTTTACCATAAAACAGAATAAGATAAGTATGCAAAATTCTGGAGATCTATTTATACACAGAAGTTTCTACCTGAGACCAGAACAAGTAGAACACACACACATACTTTTCTACACCTAAATAAGAGTTCAGGCTGAAATTTCAGCAAAGTGCCTAGGCCCAAGCAAACTAACTGAAAAGGCCTAGTAAAATGTTCAAAGTGCAAATCAATCAAACATTGAGCAAATAAATACAACAGAATGTACACTGAGGAAATTATCTAAAACATAGACAATATACTCACAAATATTGTATCTGTAGTCTTTCCTCCCCAATTCTAAGAGGGATGCTAAGCTCTTGATTATCACTTCCCAGCTTTTTGTGTAAGCTTAAGGAATTTAACTAGATTAAGGAAGGAACAAAGGACTGGGGAGAGATAAGATGCATTTAAGGAGGAGGAGAAAACAAGGGGGAGAAAGGAGAGTTTTCTCCTGGCTTCAGTGAATAGCCAGGATCCCAGAGTCCTTGAGTGGTGCACAGAGGCCGCTAGGTCGGGGGTGGAAGAACGGATGGCACCAGAACATACCAAGGGAGATTATACTCTGGGAACTCAGAGAAGCAGCCAAGGCCACTGATGTTCAGAAACCAATACTCAGAGGGTACTCCACAGTTCTGTGAAAGAGCCCTTAGAGATGGCAAGAAAAAAAGGTTCCCCCACAATATATTAGATAGGTGGAGAAATTACATCAAGGACAATAACTCTAAGACCTAATACTTACTGAAATAAAAGAGACATTTCTTGCACATTGGAGTGTGTCAAGTAAGATCCAAACAGTATTAATTTCAAAAAATAGGAAATTATACACACAAGAGAATAATAACTGTTAACTATTGTACATTCATGTCCAAGGCAAGATACAAAATTGCAAACTTCACATATTCAATTAGGGTAAGATACAGGTACACAGAAAAATATAAGGAAAAGCCCTATAATGGGCTTAATTTTAGTCAGTCACCCTGGCCTATTTTTATCCACTGTACCTACTGTTCTTGGACAACCTCCATTCCAGTTTAACACTTAGAGAACTAAGTTTAACTCAGTCCATGAAATGAACAGATGCAACTTGTTTGGCCCTTTTCTGTTAAAATTATGTGTCCAGTACAGTTCAAACTATGGATGTCGGGGATTCTTTCTCTTGGGAAACTTTACTTCCTTTACTGCTTGGTTTCCAGGCACATGGCTCATTCAACCTGACTTAAGGCCAGCCAGAAAGGAGAGGGGAGGAAACAAATAGAATTCCCCTGCTGATCATTCAACAGAAGGTCTACTGGCACCAGGCCCCATTCTATTAGCTACTTCTGCTTCTCCAGCTGAAGCCAATGACACACTGTGGTTGTTGGATGCCTGTAGGGTCTGCTCCTCAAACATAAGCATTCTATTGTAATAGTTTTGCTTCCTTAGATGCTCTTGAACTAGGAAAAAGACACTCTGACACAGTGTTCCTTCTGCCTTGGCTCCAAGACTGGAGTGAATGTGTGCCTCTCTCTCAACTAGAATAGAGCGCCACTGCTCTCCATTGACTAACCTTCCACATTCTGGTCCCACTCATGCCACAACTTCTCCTCAACTTCTCCACATCCAGGCTTGCAGAGCCAGGTTATTTCAGGCCAACACTATACAGGCACTTCTGGGAGTTCAGCAGCAAACTGGACCGTGCCATAACAAAGCCACTCCAGAATGACTAGAGTTAATATTGAAATCTTCAAGGCATGGAAAAAGTAGAAAATAAACTTAGTACTTAATACTTAAAATACTCTACAGATTCTATATACAGAAATAAGAGTTTTCAAACTTACTAGTAACATGAAGTACCAAAATAATAAATAGGTTACCAACTTTTTTTCTTTCACATACATATACTCACACAAGCACCTTTTGTGTTAAGCCAGATAGTTACATGAAAACTAGGTAATATATTTTTAAATAACAATCTCAACATTCAGATCGAACAATACTGTATTTCATGAATTTTAAAAAAAACTCAAAAATGATCCACTGGTTTCACTATTTTTCAAGCTATTCAATAACATATGGTTTGTACTTTTTGTTTTTCCAGGGTTTTGGCTGAATGAAATATTTCCTTTAGATTTACTGAAACTAGAATTAATGAGTTTTTTTTGAAATTCTACTTTTAGGCCGGGGGGGTGATGGTTCAGAATCAGACGTGCTCACAGTAATGGATGCTACTTCCACTGACCCTGGTTGAAGAGGTCCCGGTGATACCTGAATAACAACTTTTGTTTCAGGAGGCAATCCTTCTAGTTGCTTAGGCTTCTTAAACATTTGATGACAATGGGTCTTGTGCTCCATTTTCTCCTTGAAAGTTAAAAACTGTAGCCGGCATTTGGAACACTGGTGAACACTTTTTTCCCAGTGTCCTCTATAATGACACATGTAAGGTGTTGCAGTTTTAAAATTTTTGAGACAAAATGGACAAAGCAAGTTCTTAGTGTTTTCATGGCACGTTCTGAAATGTGTTTCCACATCAGCAAAGGCCGACGATCTGTAATTGCAAACCTGGCACACGTAGGGCATTTCCCCAGGCTTGTGATTGTCCTTCATGTGCTGTAAAAGAACCTGATCTGTTTCAAATGACAATTCACAAATTTTACAAACAGCAGAGGGCTCCTGGGCGGTGTGTACACTTTCGATGTGACACTGCAGTTGGAAGGGAGTGGGAAAATGCCGGTGGCAGTGCTGGCAGGTGGTGTGGATTTCCCAGTTGTCTCCCCTCTGTTTCTCAAGTTCCAAATGGTGCTTCACGTGGTTCATAAATTTGACATTCTTTAGAACTTTCAAGCAGCTGAAGCATTTAAAGGCTGTGTGAGTCTTCTGTTCTAGCAGCCCATTTCCTTTATGCTGTCCGTAGTAGAAGTCATGAAGTAACACGATCAGATTTCCTTTCTTAGGATCAACAGTCTTATTTTGACTTGCGAGACTTGAAAAGTCTATTTTTGTCACACTGTCCTTTGGAAAAGCTGTTGGAAAAGGTGCTCCATTCTGAAAAGGGTTTAATGAGGTATGAACACCATTTGAGGGTGTGCTTTGCTGAGTAGTCATTGTATGAAAGATACCTGAAGGGGACAAAGTTGAAGAACAGCCCACAATGATTCCATCACTGAGTTTAAGCCTTTTGGGATTTACACTGTTTATCTCAGAAGTGGAAAGTTGCTCTGATGTGCAAGGAGTTTTATTCATACCTCCTACAGAAAGTGCTGCTCCTACCGGATGCTGTAATGAACTTGAGAATGTTCTCAAAGGAGAACATAACTCTGAAGAGCTATTAGGCACAACTTGTGGTGAATTATTTTTATAATCAGGTTTAGACAAAGGCTCAATAATAATAGGACTATCTGTCGATCTTGATTCAGATTCAGAAACGGGGAGGACAGCCACTGCTTCTGATGTTGGGGTCCCATGACTTACAGGCTGCAATTTGTGAGTTCTATCTTTTCTGAAGTGACCATACTTTTTTCTCCTTAAATATGAACCTGGGGTGACTCTGTTCAAAATGTTTGAAACGACTGGTTTTGAATGTGAAGTAACCCCAACAAAGATTAGCTCAGCATCTTCATTTGCATGTTCTACCCCAACAAAGATCAGCTCAGCATCTTCTTCCTCTACTTGTTTGGTTTCTTCTATGCTCTTCTGTGGTTCTGGCTCCTGTTCTTCCTCACATAACATACATGGTGGCTCCATTTCTAATTTTTTATTCCTGAAGGGTATGGCCACAAGTCTCAGCGCTTCCTTTATATAAACTGCCACCTACGTACAAACACACTACACATCAGTAAGTACAGAAAAAAATGTGTTAACTCATCTAATTCTCTCCAAAACTCTAAGATAGTTATAAATATCCTTATTTTACACATAAGGACACTGAGACCAAAGAGGATAAATGACAACTTAAAACTTTGATTACAAGTCTGTGTGACTCTAGAATCATAGCTTTGTCCTGTGATTATGATCTTTTCTATTAAAAAAAAATACAACAATTAATCACTAGGCAAAAT